TTTTTTTTTTTTTAGTCATGCAAAGGGTACACTTTAAATTACTTACCCTGAACAAATTTGTGTAAAGCAGAAAATACCATTTCTCACAATGAAGAGTTTGTATTTATAAAATGGATCCCTTTATGAATCTAGAACAAACCCTGTTTCCAAGAAGAAAATGATTTGCTTCTACTAAAATCATGTGTGCTATTAACAAAAACTTTATTTTCATAGTGCTTTTTGCACCCCTCCCCAAGTGTTTACATTAATGAGCAGGCCTCTGTTAAAAGGGACCAAGGTTTTAATGTGTGCATTTCTAAAATTAAATGCAGGTGTAAAATTGTACCATTTGTCTCGGTTTCTAAACTCTTACTTGAGAAAAAGTAATATAAGGAAATCCATTCATACCAAAATTAGGATTTTTAAAAAATACTGTTTTTAAAATAACCCATTTTCACATCATTACAAAAACCTTAACTAATATTATTATGGAAACCAAAGATTGCTAATGGAAAAAAATTGAATAATAGCCAAAGCTGAGAAATGATTTGTCACAAATTATTTCCCCAGTGATCTTTGCAAGGAAAAAATAATAAGCAGTACTTACTTACACATCTTCATTTCAGAAAGTTTTCCGAATATTTCCTTTACTTTTCTATTTTAGGCTATCGGAGAACAAATTACCCATTGACCTCAGGTTGGTAAGCAGTTAGCATACTGCACTCCCATTCCACGCAGGTTCCGGTGAATGCTCTAAAATGTCAGATCTGTGGCCAGGTGTCCTTGTAGCCGAATCCTGTTGGGAGCTTGTGATGAACAACCCTTTGGCGGGCCAGCCTGACGTGGTCCGTACGCAGTGAGTTGGTGTGAGACAGCAGGACTGTCTCATGACGGCCATGGGGACCAATTCTGCCATTTGCAGCCCTGTGCTGTTGCGAAACGGTCATTCCGCGTAGAGTTCACTCTTACCTAGTTTAGTCCCCAATACTATACACCCCAGAGCATCTCCAGCTGCTGTGTTCTCTATTTAAGGCAGTATTGTCTGATCAGAAATGTGTGACCCTTCATGTATGGATACTGACCATGGAATGCAGTGCTACCCAGTATTTTCAATAAAGGAATTTACGCATTCAGAGCGGTATCGTTCCTGACCATTGATTCACCTGGTGTATATTGGGTTCCGCATACCTCAGCGATATTGCCAGTTAAGGTCTAGACAACTGCACAAAAGCAAATAACACAAATGGTTTGGTTTCCTGATGTATATCACAATTGTTTCCACTACTATGTAGTCTCTTTAAGAGGGCAGTGACATTATGGTTAGAACAATATACGTATTGATTTCAAAAATACTTTATTGCTAAAAATGATGATTTCCGAGCTATTGGAAAAATGGCACTGATAGACTTGCTTGCTGCAGGGTTGCCACAAATCTTTTGGGGGAGGGGAAGTGCTATCTGCAAAGCACATCCACTTTGAAGCAAATATGGTGAGGCTTGCCTACACTAGGATGCTGAGTTTAGGGAGACAGTGATGAGACATCCGGGAGAAGACAAGGTCCAACACTTCAGTTCTGATTTCACCGGCACCAGGAAACTCCCTCTTACTCCCTTTGGGCCCCTGTCTATGTCTTATCAGTTCTCAGAAACTGCTCCCGCTCCTAGAGACAATGCTGGACTTTGTCTCTCAGTTTCTTCTCTGTTCCTAATCCTTTTATGTGTCCTGCAAATAATGACTCTTGTAACCTCTGACTCCATCTGCTTTCCAATTCCTAAGTGACACCTTGTGCTCTGATGTCTGCCATCTATCCCGTAAAGAACCCCAAGCAATCGTCAAGGCGTCTAAATTACACATAAGGATTTGCATGGGAAGAAGCGACCAAGTGTTTCTCAAACTTGAAAAGTATAAGGGTGCATCCCCATGCTACAAACCACGAGGGACATCTGGAACTAGTGTGAGAAGTATGACTGCCCTCGATTTTATTTCCCCTGACTTAGTTTTTCTGAAGTTTTAGAGATACATGAAATAAGACTAAGAAAAGAACTATTGTCCTTTTGAGGAAGGTGTTGAAAATCTCAAAGCTTAGATGCCTAAACTATTCTTACCAATTAAATCAGGGGGAAGAAAGAAAGCTAAGTCAGAAGTCAAGGGAAGTTCCAGAAAAAACAAGATAAGGAGAGCCACATTAACCCTTGGGCACTTAACCAAAAGTGTCCACTTCCTCTGTCATTCAGGACGCATTCTTTTTTTCATCCAGGGGAAGCTTTCACCCCAGATGGTCATATCCTTTGCACCCACTGCCTTGCCTACATCCTTTTATCCACAGTGACCCCTAGCATGAAGTGTCTTTGCTAAGAAAATTGAGCTTCCCAATTCACACCAAACTTAAGGTCTTACTCCCTTATCTCCTGTTTTGAAAATAAAATAAAACTCAGGCTTCCTTGATCTGGTCAATCAAACTATTAAAATGGTGTTTCTTGATAGACTTTCTTTGGAGCCCTTTTGTTTGACATTAGCACTACCCAGTAGAACATTCTTCAGTGATGGCAGTGGCCCGTGAATGTTTGCTGCGCAGATAGCCCTAGGTCCCACACTTAGGTTGAGCACTTGGAACTTATCTTGGGTAACTGAAGTCTGGATTTGCTACTTTATCTAATTGGAACATTTGAGTTTACATAGCAGAGGTGTCCAGTGGCTACCGTATTGAAGAGCACAGCCCTAGATCAATATGTCACCATTGGGCTGGGGATTTAGTTCAGTGGTTCCACTGCCTGCCTTGCAAGCTCAAGGTGCCAGGTTCAATCCCCGGTACCAAAAAAAAAAAAAAAAGTCACTATCAAGTCTTCATCAGCTGAGTCCCTAACAAGAAGAGAACTTTAGGAACTTTGATTAGCTTCTTCCAGTGTAGTCTGTAACACCATGTGGTGCCACCTGAGATTTTAATAGGCCTACTCTTTAGGCTTTCTGTTTAGAAAGCAGCATTCCCTGCTGATCCCCATCTCTAATGAAAGGTAATAAAAACCTCTCCCAGTGCTTATGCCAGTGATGGCGAACCATTTGGAGCATTCAGTGACAACAAACGGCCCAGTGTGGCACAGGTGCCACAGGTTCGCCACCACTGGCACGGGCCATACCTCACACCATTTTCCTGGTGTGGCCATCACGCATGTTTTGTTCTGTCCTGGACATTGCACTATTCCTGGCAGCTCCGTAGGGACACCCTGTCCCTCGTGCCAGGCACTCACACAGAGTGCACGATGGAGCCCAGGAAAGAGAAACGACTCATGCCATACACAGAACTGAGCTTTCTGCCTCTGACTGTCAAGATTAATGGACGCCCCCAAGAGTGCTTCACACAGCACTGCCCAGGGACCGGTGGTCCATACCGACCTTGCCCACTGTGGCGTGTGTACTCGGAGCACCCGTCTGCACTTGCAGAAAGTTTCCAGGACCAGCCTGTTGGAATGGGGCCACAGGGGAGACCATGGACAAGGCTAGTTGTGTCCCGTCGAACCCCTCAACAGGGACCACCCTTTGTTCACCCTCTCCACGTAGGGCTATAAAGGTGGCCCTGGTCCAGCATGCCGTCACTTGAGAATACTAAACGAGACATTTTTCTTCCCTCCTTTTCTTCCTCCCTCTTTTCCTCCTTTCCTTCTTTTCCCTCTTTGTTCCCTTTTCAATTACAAACAGTTCCTAGTGAACGTTTCTGTGACTAAAACTTAGTACTCTTATGTACTATATATTTATAGGATCATTTTTATCAGTGAACCAAAGAGTGTGTGTGCTTTTTATTTAAAAGTTAACTGTTAGCCAGGCATCGTGGTGCACACCTGTAATCCTGGCACTGTGGAGGCTGAGACAGGAAAGCTGACTCGAGTTTGAGGCAACATAGTGTGAGGCCAGCAAAAAAATAAAAAGGTATCCATTAATTATTCCTCCTCAAAAGTTATACAGTATGGGCTGGGTGTGGTGGCGCATGCTTGTAATCCCAGCACTCTGGAGGCTGACGCAGGAGGATTGCTGTGAGTTCGAGACCAGCCTGGACTACATAGTGAGTTCCAGGTCAGTCTCAACTACATAGTGAGACCCTTTCTCAAACAAACAAACAAAACTATACAGTATTAGTCTACATCGCCTGGTACCTTGGCTACCTCATACCCTCACCCATACTGCCTCTGTCCAGCTCTTCATTTTTGCTCAATTATCTTATTTTCATTTTAATTCTTGAATTATGAATGAAGCTTATCCTCTTTCTATTTGTATAGGTGTATCTGTCTTTTGGTGTTTTTCTAAACAGAATCTTCAATTCTTTGTGCATTTTCCTATTGTTCATCATCTTACCAATTTATAAGTGCTTTTTGTATATTCAGAGAGAGCCCTTTGTAATATGTTGCTATATATCTGTACATCTATATATAGATAGATATAACATACTTTTTCATACATAAGGAGGATTTTTAAAGATATTACTATTGATCATTTTCAACTTCTGGATATATATATATGTATATATATATATATAGAGAGAGAGAGAGAGAAAGAGTTGTGTGTGTGTGTGTGCGTGTGTGTGTGCGCGCGCGCGCGTGCGCACCAGGAATCAGGCTCAAGACCTTGCGCACATTTCCCAAGCAGTCAAGGCACCCCTGAGCGACATCCCTGACCCACCTGGACTATCATTTTTTGGATCGAGGTAAATATATTCTGAGTGAGTCAGCCCTCACCCCAAATCTCTATTAAGGGCATCTGTCACCTTATCTAAATGATGTCTCCCTAGTGCTCATTCTGAGCTGAGTCCCACCCTCCTCAGACTTCAGGACACTTAGAAAAGACTGCCTCGAAAGCCATTTCACTTTCCGCAGGCCTCTAGTCGTCCCTGTCAGGACGTCTTCGGGAAAGGTCACAAGGCGAGAACTGAGTGGTCACCTGAAGC